AATTACATCACAAATGAGAGGCTTCATCTTGTCAGCAAAAGTTGTCAATGAATATGAATCCTCACTGTCAAACAAAGAAGAGTCTGTCAATAGATACAATAATATCAGCCTTTGCCTTTGTATAGTGGAATTTGCGATGTGTTCTTTTCCTTAGTTTTTTGGTTTTACAAGTTTGAAGTTCTTTTTTTGAATGAAGTTTGTTTTAAAAGACTATTTACTTCCCTGCATGCACTTTACATTTTGATTTCTAGCTTGTGTTTTGTGCAAAAGCATTTATTAAACCTAATGCAGGCCTACTACAATGTTTTTGGAGGATTCTTGAAGGAAAAAGGGCATAAAATTGCCTGCTTTCACTCAGTGTTTTGAAAAGCCAGACTTTGTAGAAGTTAATCCTTCTACAAGGAGGTTGTAGAGGGCATTAATTTGTCATATGAATCCCAGGAAGATGGAGCTTCCCTGACTTTGTCTCTGTAGCACTGAACATCTTGACTGAGGTCTAAGTTCTGAGAATTGTAACTACTTGTTAATGTCTGAATTTATTTGTATAGCTAGTCTTATATAAGCACCACTTAATAAAATATTTGTTTTTCATGATCTTTGTGATGCCATGTTTCATACTGTTTGCATCTGTTCATATTATTCATTCTCATTTGGTAAGAGAGAGATCTTTGGGTAGCATTTCCTTGGCTGCATCCAGGGCTTCTATTCAGGATTGAAAACAATGTTGCAAGGAGCAGTTTCTAGCAACTTTCATTTCTGGTGTTCTAGTCATAGGGCCATAGCAGATACCATAGGAATTAATGGATGTGCAGGCAGCAATGACAAATTCTACACTGTCATTAAGGCTCAATTTTGAGAGTACCAGATGAGTAGTGTAGATGTTTTTATGATTCCCTTAACTATATGCCATCTGTCCTAAAATGTAAAAGAAAAAAATAATGGTGCATAAGCTTACTTTCTATTGAGAAAGAACATTTCATGTTAAAGATACATTCAAATGAATAGGTTTTTTTTTTTCTAGCCAGTTCTACAGCTTAATAAGATGGAAGGTAAGTTAAAAGAAAAACAACTAAGTTCTAAAATGATGGACTAGGGCAGGACACTGGAGGTGGTCAGGGGTAACTCACATCTGCTTTGAGAAGGTAATGCCAATGCATTATAAAGGACTTTATAAAGAAGATGGTGGTAGTGGGGCTAGCCAGTACCCTCAGATGCTATCTCTATAAATCTATCCAAGGCCTGGCCCTTGTCGGAGAAATTTAGGTTAAATATAATGCCTTGCAATGGGAAAATATGAAAAAGGTAAGTTATATAGGCTAATTTTAATTTATAAGCTGCACTGTCATTAATTAGCTCATAAAAATTTGAAGTAAATCTCACTAAAATTTCAGGAAGTTTAAGGAAATCTGAGTATTGCTTTAAACATGGGTAAAATCTGCAGTAGTGACAGTAAAATGGGAGGAAAAAAGCAGCCCTCTAAAATGTTCTTATGATTTGTATGAAAAGAAAGATTTAAGTTAAAAAAAAAAAAGATTTGAAAACATTGGTACTGTGTAAAGTGGAACTTAAGAAGGCATAGAGTCTACAGGAAGAATCAGAGCATTTTCAGAGGCAAGTAGAGGCTGTGTGGTTCCGCCATTTTACCCCCTCCTATGGAATGTCTGGAAAATACACAGAATATGAGAAAACTAACAATAAAGCCCCATGGATCTTGCTGCCATTCTCTTTCCCCAAGGGGACTGTAGTCTCACTTGAATTGGAGAAATACAGTCCTTCTATCAGTATTTTTTATATTTGTGTGTGTGTGCATGCATGTATTGCACTGTGTGTGTATGTGTGTATGTGTGTGTGTGTGTGTGTGTGTGTGTGTGTGTGTGTGTGTGCGCGCGTGCACGCATGTGTTGTGGGGGGAGTCAGAGGACAACTTGAAGCACTAGGTTATCTCCTACTATGTGGGTTCCAGGGATGGAACTCAGGTCATCAGCCTTGGTAGCAAGAACCTTTATCCCCTAAACCTTCTTATGTGCCCTAGAACATTCTTTTCAAATATGAAGACAGTATAAATAAACATTTGAAGGGAATGTACAGCCTTAAGGAGTCTAATATTTTGAAAGAAATGAAAGTCTAATCTGAATAATAATTTTTTGAGGATTTAAGTTTTACATAATTAATATCCATAGAGAAAGTCAAATGCATATTATAGGGAAGCTGTTTAGAACATAGTTCACAATGATTTAAAACATTAGCATTGATACTATAGTTTCAAGTCAATAAAGTATGGTCCAGCACTCTGGACAACTGAAGCAAGAGGATTGCTATGAGTTCAAGGCCAGCTTGGCCCACGTAGTTAGTTTGAGACCAGTTTCAGCTACATAGTGAGACCCTATCTCAAAAGAAAAAGAAGAAAAGAAAAAACAAATAAAAAATAGTTTTGGGGCCAGACTACATGTCTGAAACCTAATTTTTCCACTTACTAGTTGTTTGAGTTTCAAAATTCCTTATCTATACAATAGAGCTAATAATTTTACCTATTTATAATTATCTTGAAAATTAAGTTAACTAAATGCTTAGAGTAGTACCAAGCACATTGTAAGCATTAAGCAAATATTATTTTTATAGTAATTATACTATTTACTCATAAAATGCCTGGTGTGAAAAAGAACCAGTTATAAACCTTGAAAATAAAAATTATTATTGTTGAAATAAACTCAGTTATTGGAATATACAAAGAGAAAATCATGAAAGCTTCAGGGGATGGGACTAGGCTACTTGCACAGATGAGGTCAATTTCAAACTTCTTCTTAGCCATATTAAAGGATAGAAGATTATGGAAAGTCGTTTTGAAATTCTGAAGCAAAAATTATTTGGAACCTCAATTTCTATTTTTAGCCAAAACATTCTTCAAAGTTAAGAACCAAAAATACATTTCAAGAATGCGAGGACAAAACATTTTTCAAAAGAAAGGACTAACAGGAGGACATGGACAAAGAAGTCAGCAAACATAGGGTCAAGTCTAAATATTAAAAACATTTTCTTGCCGGGACTGGCGAGCTGGCTCAGGGGTTAGGAGCACTGACTGTTCTTGCAGAGGAACCAATTTTGGTTCTCAGTAGCCATATGGCTGCTAATAACCATCCCAAACTCCAGTTCCAGGGGATCCAATGCCCTCTTCTGGCCTCCTCAGGCATAAAAATAATTAAATTTTTTTTTTAATTAAAAAGTAAAATACAATTCTGTCAAGTTAAAGGAATGACTTGGAATGGTCATAACATCTGGGAGCTATTGGATAATTTCTACAAATCTTATAAGAATGACAATGATTGAGCATAAATTTTGGTATTGTTATTTTACTTTATAAGAATTAAATATTAAATTTAAACTAAAGTCTTCCTGTTTAAACAATATTATAATTAAGAGGATGCTCTTATTTTGGTTGGGGAAGATTGATAACTCATGTTGATAGAATTATATATTTAAGCATGCTTACCAAAGATGGAAGGGTGAAAAACCAAAGGAACCAAATGGGGTATACTGTTTCCAAGACAGTCAAATGTAGGTCAGTATACTTCCTGTAAAGAGGGGAAGTCAGTGTTTCATAGTGAGCATACTGTCTCTCTGGCATCGATTGCTCCCTGACATTGTTACATGAAAGAATTCTTTACAGCATACGTAAACAGATGAGTGTAGCTGAGTTCTAAGAAAACCTTGTTTATAAACAGTGAAGTTTAACTTCATACAATTTTACCATGTTTCAAAAAACAATTCTACTCTTCATGTTTGGGCTATACAAACCAGTGAACTGAGTTTAGTTCATAGTTAATTTGCTGATTTCTCCATTAGAGAACAAAGAGGCACAGAAAACTTAATTTCAACTAAACACAGAAAGGGAGAAAAATGGGGAAGGACAAGAAACCAACAAGTATTAACACAGGAAACATGAAAAATGTCAAGAAAAGTTACCCCAAATAAATATGATTTTAGTAAAGTTTCCTAGTAAAGAAAAGAAGTTCTCAGATTGAGCTTAACCTAAATTATAACAGGATAGTAGATAAGTAAACCATGCATTATAGAACAGTGCTACTTGTTTGAAAGACATTACTACTCATCTCTACCTACTGAAATAATGAGAGTATTGTAGTTATTACATGGCAGTAAAAGAGGTAGACTCTCATGAGCATCCTGAAGATGGATCCATAGCCTGGCATGCCCTATGTGTCTTGACTCAACTACAAGAGTTTTTGGCTCTGATTCCCACATACTGTCTTTATTGCTTAATGGTCTCTACTCTCTTGTTCATTTAACTTTATACTACAAACATTTTGCTTTCCCCATGGCCCTACACAAAACTTCTGAGACAGAATAGACATTCGATTGGCCTAGAGAATTACCATTTTGGGCCTCCACTTTTCAGGCTTTGAGAACTTTTGCACAGACTGTGCTTTGGCTCTGTGATTCAGACATCTTCTCCAGTAGCCTTAGAGACTGTGGCTAGAGAAAGATAGGCAGACATCTGAAATACAGACAGGCTCATCAAGGCTACCTCTTTAGGAACAAAGAGCATACTCTCTGAGGAATATGCATATTCTAGAATATTCCTTTAAAGTAAATCTAAACTGTCTACCCTTGAAAACAGCAGTTGCATTTAGTTTGAGAGTACAGAAAAGGAAGTACTGGAGAATAGCTACATGACCTGAGAACAGTTCTTTGCTTATTACTTGGTAAGTAATAGTGCCTTGATATGTTATTTGTGAGCTTTGGCTGAAAAGACATTTTTAAGAATTTTGTAAGCCCCAGGAGTATCAAACTCCTTTAAAAATGTTTTCTGGTGTATATGTTATTTCTTTAACCCAACATTAGTGCTAAATTTATGGTGTGTTATAGAATGCTTATTATGATAGCAAATAATTTATGGTAAAAATTGAAAACCTGAAAATTATGTTTAATAATATGTGGCTATTGCTGTTGAAGTTATATGCAAATATTTGCTAAATTCATTCTAGGTTGGGCCATGCAAGCTGCTGCCTTTATCTTTATTCATAGGAAGTGGAAGGATGATAAGAGCCATTTTGAAGACATGATTGACTATTTTTGTGACATCCATGAACCACTTCAACTCCTCATATTTCCAGAAGGGACTGATCTCACAGGTAAGATAGTCTAGGTTTGGATCACAGAATTTTTAAAACTTAGAAATCACCTAGTCCTGGATGAAGTATCTGAATATTAGCAAAATTAATGGATGAGGGCTAGAAAGATGGCTCAGGCATTAAGAGCACTGGCTGTTCTTGCAAAAATCCCAGGTTTGAATCCCAGCACCTACATGGGAGCGAGAGCTAACAACTTCTGTTACTCCAGTTCCAGGGTATCCAAAGCCCTCTTCTGTCCTCTGCGGCACTGCACAACATGGGTGCACTTACATAATACAAGCATAACACTCATACACATAAAAATAATTAATTAAAAAATTAATGGATGAATCCTGAAGTCACTCTAATCAATGGCATCTCAAGCCAGACCTGGTGGTTGGCCTTTAATCGAAAGTTTTCAGGAGAATGAAGGAGCAGGCAGATCACAAGTTCAGGACCAGCCTGGGTTGCAGAATGAGTTTAAGGCCAACCTGGGCAACTTAATGAGAGCTTGTCTCATAATAAAGACTGAAAAAAAAGTTGGGTCTATAGCTCAGTGGTAGAGTACTTATGAAGCCCTGGTTCAATTCTTAGTACCAAGAGGGGAGAAAAAAGCTGAGGGAAAAGGAAATATTTTAATACAGTATTTTTTATTAAGTCCTTTGAGAATTTCATACTTGTGAGAATCGCATACAATGTGTTAGGATTACAGCCACCCCCACCACTTCTCCCACTAACTCCTCCCAGTTTCATCCCCTACCAAAAACTACATCTGATGACTCAAGCTTGTAATTCCAGTACTTTGGAGACAGAGGCAGAAGAATTGTCACAAATTCACTGTCAGTTTGGGCTAAATAGTAAGCTCTAGAGTAGCCAAGGTTTTGCCTCAAAAACTACCACCAAAAAAAGCAAACAAACAAAAAAAAAAAACAGCTAGTACATCAGACCTAGAACTACTGGTTTCCATCCCATTGAATTTATTAGAGGCAACCACAAGAGGTCATTATTATTCATGTTTGCTGTCCTAGAGCTTTATATTTTAAGCCTTAAAATATATCCCTTAAATGTCAGTTTTTTTATTTTTATATAAGATGAATTTCAAATTTCAAAATCATGTTTTAAGTACAGTTGGTCCTCTCCTACCTGTCTATGTGTTCTTTAGTTCTCTTCCAAAGTATTTATCCTGTAACTATTCCTTTATTCCTCGATTTCTTCCATATAAGAAAAGAATTCAAGAGTAACTAGTTTCAAATCTTATTTAATTAGGCTAATATGTGACCTTCCTCCTGATAGCCAAAGCATATCCTAAATATAGGCAGAAAAGGTGTTGTTCCTTAAGAAAAATGAGCCATCATTGAGTTGCAGAAAGGACATGAGAGGGCATGATTAGGATCTTTCAACCTCACCAGATATCAAAAAAGACTAATAAAACACTATACAGTCTGTCATACTTAACTAAATTAGTGATTTTGCATTTATTTAAACCACAGTTGATTTTTACAGATCAGACTGGGGATGGATAAATGTTGAACTTTTCTGGTTAAATGCTGGACAAGAAACAGTTTTCTAGAAAGCATTCAAAAGAACAAATTTAATGAGTTGATACCTTCAAGAATGATACAGCAGAATTTGCAGAGGGTGGTGTGCTATATTAGGGAACACATATCAAAGCAGGATACAATGGAAGTTAAAAAAAATCATAATATATATAGCAAGGAGGAACATGAGCTTGTCTTCCAAATCTTTTAATGCTGAATTAAGAATGGCAACTCTTAACTTTGCACTGTGAGTATAGGAGTTTGTGGGACTCATTACCTCATTACTCCAGAAGAGGTCAAAATGAAAAATGTATGTTGCACAAATGTTGAAGTGAGTGTTGACTGTGGTGGTTTGAATAAGGGCCTCACATATGCTAGGCAAGCACTCTGCTTCTGAACTGTGTCCCTAGCACTACATGAAAATTTTATATCTTAAAATGGTACTTAGATTTTTAAGGCTACTTTGCAAAAGCCAAAATATCTGTCATATAAAAAAAATTGGTCCTAAAACTTTAAATTGTTTTTATTTTTGTTTTATGTGTATGACTGTTTTGCAAACATGTGTGTAAGTTTACCTGTGTATGTAGTGCCTGCAGAGGCCAGAAGAGGGCACTGGATTCCTTGGAGCTGGAATTACAGATGGTTAACTTCCATGTGGATATTGGGAATCAAACCTGGGTCCTCTTCAAGAGCAACCAGTGCTCTCCTCTACTGAGCCATCTCTCCAGCCCTAAGTTGTTTTTAAAAACAAACTTCTTCAGGTAATTTTCTTGGATTAAGAAAACAATGAGATTTTTCTTTGTTTTTTTCTTTTTTAGAAAACAGGCTAACAAAATTATTCCAAATTAGAAAAAGTATCTAAAAAGTATATGGATTTTTTTAAACACAAAGAACATTTTATATTCTACTTTAAGCTCTGAATCCAGTTTGCTTGCAGATTTTCAAATTATTGCATTTAACTGTGATTTTACATACATTCTGTCTTTATATACTGTAGTTGGTTATAACTTCTTGTTAATGGGAGTACTATATCTTAAGAAATTTCAAGACAGAAACATACACAAAAGTTACTATAATTCTTTAGCCCATAAATGAATTCTGAATTTTGGGCCATTTTGGGTCATCACTTGGTCACAGTTTTCATACATGCACTCATTCATTGAAATATGTATAAATGTATATGTGTTTGTGTGTGTGTGCTTGTGTGTATGCACACAGAGTCCTATAAAACCTTAAAACTTGAAATTGAGATCATATTTTTCTTTGTCCATTTCATTTTTCACTTAATATTATAAACTTTTGCATCATTTGTCCTTTGAAAAGATTGAGTAGTTTTATATTAGTGTCTAGGATTCTCTGAAGTAGCTCCAGTAAGATATGCTTAGAGAGAGATAGTAAGGTTAACTTTAAGGAAGCGGCTCTTGCAGTTGTGGAAACTTGGCAAGTTCAGGGTCAGCCAGGGTGGTAGAACTTGAGGAAGAGCAACAGCAGAGTTTGAAGGTGGTCTCGATGCAGAAGTCCCTCTTCTTTCTGCGGCAGATAAGGGCACTGCTGTTTATAAGGCTTTCAACTGATTTAAAGGAGGCTAATCATATTATAGACAAACATTTATTCAGTCTATTGATTGAAGTATTAATTTTATGTAAAAAAAATCTTCACCAAATCCTCTAGAATAAATGTTTGACCAAATACTAATATGGTGGTAGCTTAGTTTCATATCTGTTGCTGTGATAAAATACCCTGACAAGAAGCAATTAAGTGGAGAATGGAGTTTATTTCAGATTACAATTCTAGTCCACCATCCATCATTGTGGGGAAGTCAAGGCAGGAGCTTAAAATAGCTAGTCACATCACATCCACAGCCAGCACAGAGAGCAAACAAATGCATCCTTGTTTGCTTGCTTGGTCTGAGTTAGCATTCTCTCTTATATTGTTCAGAACACCCTATCTAGGGAATGGTGCCACCCACAATGGGCTGTATCTTCTTATATCAATTAGCAGTCAAGACAGTCCCCTCCAGACATGCCCACAGGTCAACCTGATCTACATGATTCCTCATGAAGTCTCTTCGAATGTGGTTATAGGTTATGTGAAGTTCACAGTTAAAACTAACTCAGCACATGAGGCCTTGTCAGATTAACACAAGATTAGTCATCAAAATTGTTAGACCAAAATTTTTAGTTCAATTTCCCTGATTCGGAAAGGAAAGGTATTTTCAGGATTTAACAGTGGTATTACATACATTCTAACACTCTTGTACTTAAAGTTTCTGTATTTAATAAATTTCCCAGTGTCTAGAATTTATATACAAAATGAATCCCCTTCTATGAAGCTTAAATCATATGAGAGAACTAATCATTTAGTAGGGATATATACAGTTGTCATAAGTGTGCTAAAAAGTAAAGCAGGATGAAGAGACAGAGTAACAGAAGGGAGCACAGTGGTCAGGACAAGCCTCTCTCCAAGTTTCTGTTTAAGTAGGGATCAAATGCACAAAGGAGAAGACTGTGTTTGCAGCAAGAGACCTCCTAGATAATTGAACAACAGCTGTATGGGCCTGAGGTTGGAACATGCCAGGCTGGCTTGAGAAGATCAGAGTGGCTGACAGTCCTGTGGGTGTGGGTGGAAGGAGTGCTGGAGTGGGAAAGTCATGGGGAGTGAGATGGCAGGAGGCTGTGGTTGGAAAATGGAATGCTAGTGCAGTTACTAATAATAATGGTCTAGGAAGAGTACATGAAGTGAAGGGGAAGGAAAATCTCCAGACAAATCTGATTATTTTCACCTTCCCACATTGTGACTGTACATTTTAGAACTGTGAATACTTTATTCAGATCTGCAAAAGAATTCAGTTGCATCTTCAGAATCCCCAGAGTCACTGACAAACTGGAAGAACAAACTAATGAGCAGTTAGCTACTATTCATTTCTCTGGTGTCTCTGGGGCTGCTGATACCATTTGAGGCCTGTGTGCTGCCTGTAACAGAAACATGTTTTATAGCCCCCTGCCCAGGATATTCTTGAGTAGAGAGTAGCTCATTGCTTTCCATGCCAGGCCTTTCCTTTTAACTGCTGGGGAAGCTGTGGGCATTTGATTCAGTTGCCTCTATTAGAAAATGATGTAATACCTTCTGTAAGAATGTCTGTTGAATATTTGAGTGTTGTGGAATACATCTGTGGTTTTTGGAGAATTAGTGGACTCGCCAATCTTAAATTTACTCCTAGAAAAGTTGTCTTCATATAGATATTTTTCTTGTGCTAGTCTAAATTTCCAAATACAGCTGAGAGTTGCAGGTTCTAACATCTGCTCTCATCAGAAGGTATTTCATGATCTCTTCTAGCAGTTGGACACTTTATTTTCCAAATGAATTTGCTGAATAATGGGTTTGGTTCTTCTTGGAATTTGTGAAGTTACCTCATGGAATGGAAAAAGAAGTCATTGCCAACAATTGGAATATCTACTTGTCTTTGTAACTATTTTCAGCCAAACCATGTTCAGATGTTTGTACATGATGTGCTAATCATGTGCTCATTCTGTTGTGCAGTGGTTTTGGTTAGTAATATTAGCTATTCTGTACTTGAGCAAGTCAGATATTTCACTTTGCTTTGAAAGCCTAAATTATTAGGTTAAAAAAATGTTGAACTGACATATTAGATTGCTGGTTATTTCTTCTGGATGTCTACATTCTTTTGTTAGTTTTTAGTCTTATTAACATTTTATATTATTTCAATTTTTACTATATAATGATTATTTTTAATGAAAAATTTATCTTAGTATTTTATTTATATCTTGGTTTTCATTGTATATTGACTGGTAAAATCTTCTAAGAATTTTAAAGGTTTGGATATAAATTTAAGGAATTTATGAAGTCTATTGTGACCATGTTATGTTTTTTTTAATTCCAGTAGATTGGGGTCTTTTTAAGGGCTTATCTAGAATGTTTGCATCATCTCAGTAACTGTCAGTAAATATAGTACATGTAAGTGCTATTTTTATCCAAGAAATTCCTCATGTCTTTCCTTACCTCGCTATGCTATCTTCCTTTAATTTTTTTACTGTTTTGTTTAGAAAATAATAAGGCTCGAAGTAATGATTTTGCTGAGAAGAATGGACTTCAAAAATATGAGTATGTCTTACATCCAAGGACTACTGGCTTTACTTTTGTGGTGGACCGTCTAAGAGAAGGTAAGCACTCATCTCAAAATGTACATTTTAAAATAAAAGTGACATGTACACTGATTTCTAGTGAGCCATAGTAATATAATGCTGACCTATGACAAATAATCATCTTCACATTGAAATTGTTGTATGTCATAAAATTGACCTTACCTAACATAAATGTTCAAGACCATTAGGTAAGAGAAGGTTAGGGCTGGAGAGATGGCTCAGGAGTTAACAGAACTGGCTGCCCTCCAGAAGACCTGGTTTCGGGTCCCAGCGCCCACATGGCAGCTAACAACTGTCCATACCTCTAGTTCCAGGGGATCCAATGCCCTCTTCTTTGTAAAAGTTTATCTAAAATGTTTATATTGTCTCAATAACTGTCAGTAATCACAGAGTAAATAAGTGCTTTTTATCTAAGCCCTCTTCTGGTCTCTGAAGGCATTGCATGACACAGGTACAGTTAATTAAATGCATGCAAAACACTCATATACATTTAAAGAAAGAAAAAAATAGACAAATGTACACTTCTTTCCCTAAATGGCATCACTGTTGTTCTTTTAGAGTCTATTGTGCTTTAAGATACAAAGTATGACCTACTAAGATGAAGCTTCTTTACATCTAAGCACCTTGATTTTAAAGCAGTGTGTGGAACCAATCCAAAAATCACATTTTAAACCAAAACCAGAAAGTGTCATCACTGTCAGTTTAGTGTGATTTTGAAATTCTGTAGTTTATGACTAATATGATGTGAACTTGTGGGCTTCATTTTTGCATTGCCAGTGAATACTAAGTGCCTATTTGTCTGCTCGTAGAAGCTCATGAAAGGTACAGTTCTTCATGTCTGTGGAACTTGGTGGAAAGGCAATAAAGTGGTGTGCTCATTCTCCTGTTTCTCTCTCTCCCTCCCGCTCTCTCCCTCTGCCCACCCTGTCTCCGTCTCTGTCTCCATCTCTTTCTAGTCTCTTCCTCTGTCTATCTCTTTCTTTCTCTGTGCTACTTTGCCATGTAACTTTGGTGTACTCCATTCAATCAACAATATGGTTTTTATTTGATGTTTTTTTTCTTTAAAGATATTTCTGACATCATGAAATACATTCATTATTAAGGGATGGCCTTATTATTAGAGGAAGGACATCTTTTACTAATAAAGATCATCCTATATGTAAACAAGGTAATTAGGAGATTATAGTGGAAAAGGGTACATATCTAAAATTCTCTATTCTGCAATCTAGAAAATACTAGAAACTGATTCTTGACTTTGCTGTACACTGAGTATATTGCTTAGTCATCACTCAAAATGCTAGTCAACAACCACAAGTAATAATATTTTTCCAGCTAGAACTGGTACCTGATTCGCTCCCCTCTATATAGCAGTAAAAAGAAAAGAGGTGTACATTGAGCATGGTGGTGCATGCCTTTAATCTCAACACTTGGGAGGTAGAGGCAGGCAAATTTCTGTGAGACCGAGGCCAGCCTGGTCTGCATAGCAAGTTTCAGGCTAGTGGGGGCTACAAGGAGACCCTGTCTCAAAAAACCAAGGTGGGGGAAACAGACAGGTGATCTCCTTTGCCTTAGTTTGAAAACCAGATAATTAGATGGTTCTGTTTACTTCATTTAGAAATGTGGACTGGGACCTGTACACTATACTAGGAAATGAGAAATATGCTGATGATTATCAAAACGGTAATACCTGCTAGCATTAACTTGGTGTTTACAAAGTGTCAGGTATTGCACTAAATATTTTTAATGCCTAAGTTCACTTAATCCCTCACAACTCCCTGCAGTAGTTATCATGTATAGTATAAAATAAGAGCAGACATTGAGGTGAAGAAATGCATTTACCATTATTGGAACCATTCTTTCATTTGTAGTATGATTTTAGCTAAAGTTTCAACCACAAAACACTTGTAACAAGAGTGAGGTGGATAATTTTTTAAGGATTTAAAAGAAAGAAAGGAAAAAAGAGGCCAGATAGTAGAAGGCTAATGGTCCCAGGTAGGTGGTTATGATGCTGTCTGAGGTGACAGGAGGAGCAGGCACAGGCTAGGGAGGCATCAGCTGGAGTGTTGAGGATAGACTTGGTTTCTTGGGAGGGAATGGGAGGTTCAGGTGAACAGGCACTAAATTTGCATCAAGAGGATCTTAGAGTCTCTCTGGTCCAGAGTATTTCTTTAGAAAAGAAATCTAAGACTCAGAAGGGGCCCAGCATCGCTCTAGGCCTCTGTGGTGGTTTGAATGAAAAACGGCCCCTGTACCTGGAGGAAATATGTCACTGGGACAAGCTCTGAGAGTTAGTCTCACCCCACTTCTAGTTCACTCTCTTTGCTTCTTCCGTGTATAGGAAGACATGATGAGCCAGTTTTCTACTCTGGCCACCTGCTGCCATGCCTCCCCCACCATTATAGACTCTCCCTCTGGAACTATAAGCCCAAATAAATTCTTTCTTCTATAAGTTGCTTTTGGTCATGGTATTTTATCGCAGCAACAGAAAAGGAAGTAATTCAGCCTCTGAGATCAATAAATTGTGAAAAGGAAGCTTTCTGTTAAACCAGATGACCATTATAATGTAGTAAATCACCCTGAAGTTCACACATTGAACTAAACTCAGCGTTGCTGCCATCTGTTAAGTACTTAGCACAGGTGGGCATATATGAAGTTCAGAATATCATAAAGTTAAGGAAAAAGCCTTAGCAAGCATGATGGAGTAAGGAGAGACAAAGCAAGGAAAGGACTTTGAGTGTTTCTCTTTAGAGTCTATTTTGCCCAGACTAAGAACACTTGGAAAACTGTCAAGTTACACCTTAAGAACGTAACACTAGTTATGTAATGTTGCACAAATTTGCTGTTTCTTTAACTGGAGAAAGTTTGCCCTGAGTACCTTAATTTTTACCATTTGTGTATTTGATTTACATTCCTGCTAGATTATATCTTTCTTGAGAATGGGGGGCGGTTACCCTGAAAATAAAGAGACTCAATATTAGTTGCATTGAATTTTTTTTTCAACTGCTTGGAGCATTGAATATTTTTAAAAATTTCCCAGAAAAGTAATACTAAGTCCCATCCTAGCACACTCCTCTCAGAGCATTATATATTATCCTGATAGATATTTGTTATGAGTGATTTCACATGTATTCCTTATCATAGAACCTTTCAGTATATGATCATGTCTTACTGTTTTTTAAAATACTAGAATAATCCAAACTCAAAAGTTGCCAACTTAAGAGGAAAGAACCTTTATATGAGGTGATGTTTTTTTCTATTTTTAAAAATTACCAGTTATAATAAAATATATGATGTAGTCTTAAACTTTAAATCATTGCATCAAAACATTTCTATTTATTATAAGCTCCAGTGATTTGTAATTAAAATTTATTTATTTTTCTTTTATGTATATAAGAGTTTTGCCTGCATATATGTAAGTGTGCCACATGCATGCAGTGCCCACTAAGGGCAGAAGAGGGTATTGGATCCCCTGGAACTGGAGTTATAGACAGTTGTTAGCCACCATGTAGGTTTGGGACTCAAACCTGGGTCTTCTGGAAGTGCTGCCAGTGCTCTTAAATACTGAGCCGTCTCTTCAGCCTCTGGATTCATAATTTTAACAGCAGTTGCTTAATTCTTACTTGATTTCGACTAAATAATGATTTAACCCAATATTATCTAATTTTGTTATGGATGACTGAAATGTAGCATGTATAATTACTTTCACCTTTGGGCAGCACTAGTGTACATATCTGAAACAACTTGAAATTAGGCTAGCTTAGTTAGGGGAAAGAGATAAAACATTTTTCAAGGTGTGGCCCTATTTGAAATATGAGTTTGAGAAGTTTGTAGTCTTCTTGGATAGATAAGAATGATACACATTTGAAAAATCTTTAAAATGATATAAAATAATATGTATGCAAAGTGCCATGTTTTACCGTATATAAAATTCAGATATTGTGCTAAATAATTGTAAGCATGTTCAGTAAAGAAAGTCTATTGTACTGGCATATTCAAGTGCAGCTTCTGAAAGAGGCTGAGTTTCCCTTGGACCCTGGAGACCCTGTGATCTGGACAGATAGAAAAAGCAAGGATGGCTGAAAAAGGGTATTAGCAGTCACCCCCAAAACACTGGCCTGTTGGAGCAGAAGAACTTGGGCTGTAGAGACCTGCAGTGTTTAAAAAGGTTGTTCAGAACTGTCAGTGTTTAAAAACTTAATGCCTCAAGGGGGTATAAAGATAAGATTAAGATTGATTGAGATGTTCTGTATGAAATACACAAAAATTCAATAAAAAATATTAAGTACTAAAATAAATATTAAAAGTACAAAAAACCCTTAATATCTCAAATAGTGATAACTTTAGCTTGCATATGTCTATTAAGTCACTCAAGCAAATTGACTCATTTATTAACACTACATTTTCATGTAGATATATTTAATTTTAAGTTTGAAATAAGTAAATATTTTTAGAGTTAAACAAGTCCATATTTCTATTCATACTTAGCTCATATGCATAAATTCTAAACATGAAGAAATGCAGGATATAGTCTTTCCATTAATATGGGGGACACCAAGTTAACCACTAAAGAAAAGGTAAATTCCCACCATGTGATTTGGATCAGCACATTTGAATAAAATTCTTCAGTCTGCTCTGATAAAGAGAATTGCTGACTTAACACCTGAATTTATACATATATGGGATCTGGTGGACCTGTGTCTGGTCTCTCCTGTTGGTGTACTGTAGTTTTCATTTATACTGTAGGCAAAAGCAATACAGTAGTAATAGATGGCCCAGGCTTCGGCAGCATTTTGGCCCACGATAACTTCTTGAACTTTTTACTTGTTTCCCACCTACCTGCTGACAGTTTGATCTATTTGTTGCTTTCGTGCTTTGTAGATAGAGGATGTAAAGATGGCTAGCATATACCACCCTGTATGGCACACGTTCCATTTATTTTAGTCACCAAGCCTCTCGTTTCAGCCACCTTCCTAAAAGGCAGCTTGTGAATGAGGGCAAGGAAGAAAGGCAGACATACA